CCCATATCCTCTGCACGGTAAAAGTGAAACAAAAGTGTTGATGATAGTGAAAGGAAACTTGAATCGTTGCAGCAAACTTTGGTCTACTCAACAACCACGTAGTTTAAAACGGGTTGACTTTAATTTGCTTAGTAAATGTTTGAAGGACAAACAACGCCTGTTATGTTTCTATTGTACTGAGCTGAAGTTCAGCACAGAGATTGTGTTCATTTGAAAATATCTAAAGAGATTATTTAACAAATCGATAATTAAAACACTTATTTGGTTAGCATACATTTATATAATGTTTGGGGTTTGGAATGGTTAAGTTTTGTGGGAGTATTTGCAAGGCTATATTTAGTTCGAAAACAGCTCATTTGAATATTAGCAAAATTCATTAGCATGTAAAAGTGCGATATACGAATTCGCTCTATTGCAAAGATTATCGCACATATAAGTAATATATACAGTATGAGTGGCCGTATTGTATCAGATATATATCTGATACAACACGGACACGAATACTGTATTTGACTTATCGAACGTCTAGGTTAGTTCCTTTGTGTTTCACTAAAATTTTCAACATTAAAGTGAATATGGCCAAGAAAATCCAACTTAAAGTTTATGCAAATGAACACAGTTTTGTATCAGATTTACAACACTCTTCACGGTCGTGATTTCTGTTGTGTTTTCCTCATGAATTATTCATGAGTTTGATAAATATATTAATTTCCTACAGGGACCTTCAAAATGGAAATATATTTTTATATATTCGATTGTCAATATGGTAAAGCTGATTCACAAAAATGTGCATCATCGCAAACTGCATGGTGACAAGGCGGAGTTACAGTCGAACTTCAACTTAAGGTAAGTCTCGTTCAACTTTTTTAAATTTTACAAAAATTTGATTTGAAAATCAGAAAGATCGCGAACGAACTATGGTAAGTTTGGCTATTGAGAGTTTTTGGAAAAATAATGACCAATTGAGGGTGCCAATGGGGTTAGTAGTTAACTGGCACCCTCCTCATCACCCTCATCAATGAGGCAAATTGTTACCATAGTGAATTCGAAATATTTAATTTTCCACGTTGGTCACGCCATCTATTTAATTAACKTTATCAGTACATAGAATTCTAAATTACTAGCCTAAAGCACTCACCTTTGAGTGTATTTGAAAAAAAATTTTTTTCTCATAGCATACTGCTGTTATATTCATAGAAAGAGTATTGGTAATGGTAAGCGGAAACTGAAACTGTTAAAGGCATAAAAAATGTTTTTCAGTAGGATAAATCAGTTATTTTTCAGTAGGATATTTACTGAAATAATGCAAGAAATGGTCTGATAATATAAACCAGAATGCTCATCAAATATTTGAGTTGCTTGAGAATGACGACAAACCGTTTTCATGCAAAGTAATATAAAAAGCTCTTGAATATGGAATGGATAAAATTATGATAGTTGAAATATAGCAAATATCGGCAAGTTGATCCCCTCCGGTGAGCATCATTAATTAATTGTTCTATTTTATATCTATTTTTCTCGTTTTCTTTGTTCGTAATAATAAAAGCAAAGAAAACAAGAAAAAACTCGTAACGAAAACTTCCGCTTTCACCATTCGTTCAAATAAGCAAACTCGATGAACAGGCGACCAGTGTGTGATGGCAATGGCAATGAGTTCTCTATCTGTTGTGGCTTTCGTTTTCTTTTTAGGAAACTTTATGTTTCCTCTAGATTCAGTCCAAGGTTTGAACCATTTCTTTAGTATTACCATGTATTTTAATGTTAAGCTACTATTTTATTTATTTATTTTTTGCGATTCATTTTCAGTCTAATACTTAAACGAGTTAGGCTTTGTGCGGGAGAAAAACCCTCGAATTACGAACGGAGAGATCCACAAACTCAACTCACAAATTCATAATAGCTCGAACGCGCAAGAAAAATCATATGGTTTCGCTCATTCTCAAATTTTAGCGTTCTTTTAAGGGCTGAATCAACCTTTTTTCTCATTCCCAATTTTGCTTTCATTCTAAGCTACTCCATTCAAGCACCTTGGTTGTTACAAGGACTCTTGGAAAGCAAGAGCGCTTCCTGATTTCCTAGGAAAGTTTCCCAAACACCTGGCAACGAAGAAGTGTGCCGCTCTTGCAAAGAAGGGAGGTTATACAACCTTTGCTGTCCAAAGTGGCGGATTTTGCTTCTCTGGTATTYCTGCTGACCACACGTACAGCATGTATGGACGAGCGAACAACTGCCAGGGCGGAGTTGGAGGAAGATGGGCCAATGACGTCTACCAGTTTCCTCGTAAGTTTGGAAAATTGTTCTTATATTATGGAAATGAACATTTCTTATCATTTAATGTCCCCAATATATTTGTTAAGTATTATTCAATTAGTTAATTTGAAATAAATATAAACATTTATCTTTGTCTATACACTCGTTCAATAGTTATCTTAGCGATAGTAAACTCATGTCTGGTTGATTTGGCATTACATGCGAGTAGAGTTTTTATTTTAGTAATTTGTAAAACCTAACAAAATTCTGAGTAATTTTTAATTTTATTTGTGAGTTAATTGTGCTCTGGTTTTACCAACCTAGAGGTGGTTTCTGAGTCACCATTAGAGAGTTTAAAATTCTCATTTACGGCAAACTTGAAAAGTCAGTTGACCATTAAAAAATTCTTTAAAATTAGTGAAAAGGAATCGCAAAAATCTCCAAGTAGTCGATAAACAAAAGAATACTTGCCTTTGTCAAGAAGGTTTGAAAAATGTAAAGTGAAATGTAGGGAAACGATGAAAACGTGGTCACGTTTGCCGTTTGCGGGAAGGAAAAACGGGAATCTTAATCTGCCTATTATTAAGAAGGGTCCGCAGCCGACTAGTGATAAGAATTAAATGATGACGCTATTTTCTCTCGTTAGTTTACATTCTCCTTAAGAAGCTGAGAGACAATTATACGAACCTGCGGACTAAAACCAACTTGCAAGACAGAAAACTTGGAAATCTGCGACAACAATATCAGGTATTTTTATAATTAAAAGATGAAATATCACAAAAAATTAGTCTGGCTCAAAACCATTTTTTTTCAGTTCCTGTTTTCGCCTTAGTTGGTGTTTAATGAGCTTTTGTAAAAGAAGAAATATTCTATAGAAAAAAGGGCGATGAAATGCAAAACCTAAAAAGAAATATTAAGGACTGAAAGCGAGAATTCCAGAACATAGGACAAATATGTCAAGATATTATATTAGTAGAAAAAAGAAAATTTTAAAAGCCGAAGACGAAGAAAGAACAAGAATGAACACGATTAAACAGGATTTTGTTGAATATTTATTAGCTGGGTGCGGTCGTCAACAACTGACGCCAGATGTTTACGCCGATCATGTACAAAGAACACTTATTTCTTACAGTGCGCATACTCATCTTCGATCATGTAATAACAGAAAATAACGTATTTAAACCAGCGATTATATTAGGCCCTTAAAGATGATTTCAGTAAAGTTTCAGCTGATTGTTACAAGATAATTTCGTTTTTCCTTAGTCACTTTCAAGCAGGGAACGGTCATTACATCATCGCCTTTCTGCCTTAAACAAACGAGTGAGCCGTGCCCGTGTCGTTTGCTACAACAGAGCAACCAGTTGGCAGCCCTATTCGAACGCCCGAATCAAATACCTTGACAGACACCAAGTCACTTGTCCTTATGGCCAGTTCGTGGCAAGTTTCTATCTCACAAGAACAGCTGACAGGGACAACGCCCCTGTTCGGTATATCTACCGATGCTGCAAGTTTGTTCTCTGATGAACTATCAGAGTTTCAAGTTTCAATTGATTAAGCATTTGAGATGCATACTATGGCTAAAATTGTATTAAACTAAAAAAGTGAAAAGAAAAGCCATTCTGGGAAACTACTTGTTTGAACTTAAGGTGAAAGAATAATAAATACTAACTTTGGTGTTGGTTTGTTCAGCGTTTTTTTTCCTTTAGGGAATCAAAATAAATTGATCAGTAGTTGAAATGCAAAACTTAAGTCGTCGATGAACTAAATTCCTCGTCCTTTTAAAGGGATGGTTTGTAACACAGTGGCATTGTTCCTTTTTCTTAAGTGGCAGTTTAAATACCGGTTTGCAAAGGGAAAAACCTGTAATTGTAGGAAAAACTTTAAATAAAAAATTTAATTTGGAATTCAAGAGGAATTCAATTTACTAAACTGTTTTTTACTCCGTTCATATGGTTAAAGGTGCAGTGAGTAAGTCGTTTTCGATTTTCAGTCCTTGTGAAAGTAAAAGTAAAGAATATTTTGTTTTTATCTCAAAACTGACTAAATTACACAGGAAACTCCTGCAAAGAGTCCAAAGAATAATCTGAACACTGAGAGAGGGAATGTGCTTTCCAACAGAGTGCCGCCTCCTAGTCTGGAAAAAGGAATGCGCTATAACCTTGTTGACAACTGTGTTTGGCAATTTAACTAAATTTTTATTCTGTAAAGTAAAAGAATTACATCGCATTTCGCTCGAAAAATATTTAACTTATGCGCATAAGTTTAATGTCACGACTTTCTTAAGAAAAATTAAATTGTATTAAAAAATATATATATCGGCTATGTTACTGTATATAAGATACTGTCATGACATTCGGTGAACGAGGTCAGTAAAGAATTAATTAAGATCTGGAGGATCGTTATTTCAATGACACATGTGTAGCCAAGGTTTCTGTTCCGAGAAACAAAATTAAAGAATGGAAAGAAACGTATAGATAAAAGGAAGAAAGAAAAAATGGATGGAAGGGATTGAAGGTAGGAAGGAAGAGATGGACTGAGGATCGCAGGAAGGAAGCAAGCAAGCCTGAAGGAAGGAAGGAAGGAAGGAAGGAAGGAAGGAAGGAAGGAAGGAAGGAAGGAAGGAGGTGGAGTAAGGAACGAAGGAAGGAAGAAAGCAAGCCTGAAGGAAGGAAGGAAGGAAGGAAG